GGGGGGGGTGTCATGTGATCACACACAGTGTAATAAACGCCGCTAATGAATAGAATATATTTTCCATAATCCCCTCTGTGTGACTTCATCACTCCGCTTGGATCCTGACATGTTTCACCGCCCTGTGGGCTGGGAAGTGAAGTGTTTTCGGGTCTCATTCATGATCAGGCTGGAGTCAGAGCGGTGACACGCTCCATCAGCGGGGAGAGGTGTCAGGAGGGTGACAACACAGAACTACAATGTATTTCTCTCATAGGCTGAACCTGTAAGATATCGGCGTGTGCAGGACAAGGATTGAGTTCAGCATGTGGCCGGAGTTCTCCTTTAATCCTATAGAAACCCAATAGATACATTGTCATATATGTCGCAGCTTACCCGTCCTCAGACGTGTTCTTACCCTTTTATCTCCACCTGTTGATCCCGCCAGAAACACGCCTCCTGTTCTAGGGTGACAACGCTTACTTACTGCGCTGTATCTATGGACGTGTTGTCACCCCTCAGAACGTCTCCTCTTCTCCGTAACATAGTGAGGAAGGTTTGGTAGCTTATCGGGAGAACTGGGAACATTGTAACTGAGAGCACAGGAAGTCATCAACGCCCAAGATTTCTGGCAGGATCAACGGGGATTTAAAATCATTTTCTGTAATATATTTAACAGACCAAAAGGGAGGAAATAAGATTTAAATTCACTTTAAGAACATTATTTATAAGTCCGCAGACCAGTAAAAGGTTCCTCTGTCTCTAGGAGGCGTGTTTATGAAGTGTCACATGATCGATCTGTCAATCATTTGTAATAGCTCCGCAGCAAGCTCCTCCATGTGCGCCCCCCACTCTAAAGTAACCCGAATCCTTGACCCGAATCCCGAAATATCCGAACCACATTTTTCCTCAGCTTACATGTCTACCCCCCTCCTCCCCCCCCTTCAGGCTCCCGTATCTCACCATAGATAATACACTAAGTGCACTGAACCTAACAATGTTTTTTGGGTATGTCTGCGATCGGCCTTACATGCGGGCGGAGGGTCGAGTCCTAGAAGTATTCTAGCCCAAATTATTAGGAAATACCTAAAAAAACTAAAAATGTTTTGGCATCTTTAGAAGCTCAGAGTTCATATTCAGTACAATCCTCACGGAACGCGTTCTCCTCAATCTCCCCGGAGAGGTCAGTGCAACGTGCGCTCGGTCCCCTCGCCGCGTCCTGTGAAGGAGCAGAGAGCATCACAGGCCCGGATTCCCCACAAGGCCACCGAGGCCCGGCCTCGGGGCGGCAGGGCGCAGAGGGGCGGCAGCGGTGTCCTTGTGGGGAAGTTTCGGGCGTCGTGCGGTAAGTTGCCCTCTCCACATCTAGTCCTGCTTTGCACAGTGAGGGAAGCTGATTGGTTGTTTACATGTGAACTCAGCGATGTCGCCGAGATCACATGTAAACAGTGTGCGGCCTTCTCTCCCCTCCCCCCTGCACTTACCTCTCTCCTCTAGTTCCGTCCTCCGCCACCGAGTCCGTCTCCTCACTGCAGTGAGTGCCGGGTTAAAGGTAAGGGGAGAGCTGTGCCGTGCTGTGCTGTGCCGTGCTGTGCCGTGCTGTGCTGCGCTGCGCTCTTCCTCTCTCACCTGTCACAGGAGTTCCAGCACAGCACAGCACAGCACTGCACTAGAACTCCTGTATGGGAGGTGACAGGGGTCAATAAAGAGAGCCTGTCACCTCCAATTGCTATCACACAGGGGGATTGTTTTCTTTTGTTTGAAAATTAGGTGGGAAAAAAACATTTAAATTGATACATTTAAAAAAAATTAAATAAATGAAAAATGTTAAAAAAATAATACGAAATAATTAAATAAAAAAATAAAAAGTGATAAAGTTTTAAAAATGGCAGATCATGTCAGGCTGGAGTGGAATGAGAGAGTGGAGAGGGACGGGGCGAGCCGTGTACAATACGTATAATTTAATGTATCCAACACTTGTAGTAGGGGACGGCTTCAGTACTGTTAGGAGCCCTCTGAGAAAGGTGTCGAAAAAGAGTTTTAGGGGCACACGTAATGAATCCGGGTGAACGCTGAACGCCCCGTGACCTGACCTTCTTCTTTCCGTACAGTCCTGAGCATCTACAAGCGCCAGGCGACCAATCCCAGCGACATCAGCTTCCCCATGAAGGGCTGGCGCGGCTTGGTGGAGTGGGCCAGAAATGCAGAAGATAAAGTCTCCGTTTCCAAGAACTTCCTGTCAATGGAGGACGCAGGTAAGGTGCACCAGCTCTGC